AATACACTCAACCCCTGAACCCCGTCTGCGCAGGAGATGCTGCGCGTAGACAGAAAGAGCCGCATGGAGGTGGAGGGCGAGTGGATCCGAGCAGTCCAGGGGCACTCCATTGAGGCTCGCGCGACCGGCCACCCCTAAACCCTAAACCCTAAAGCCTAAATCCCTTAAGGTGGACACCACCCTTAAACCCTAAACCCTAAAGCCTCAACCCTTAAGGTGGACACGTCGGACCTCATGGAGCAGATCAGCCTGGATGCCGCGCCCCGAGCACCCCAGCCAGCAAGTTAAAAGAGTGTTGCTGTCAGGCTTGCCATTGCTTGTCGCATGTCTCAGGAGCTCTTCCACATGACCTTCCGCCGCGCGATTCAGGGCATCAGGGCGCTTCTTGGACGGCGCATTCTCCCAACCCCCGAGCATTGGCACGGCAAGCAAGCATGTAACATGTTTAACTGTTTAACATAAGTTCTGCATGAGTGCTGCCAAGGTCCGGCCTCAGCAAAGGCCGGCGCCAGCATGTCCACCTCGTCCGGGCGGAGGACGTGGGGCGGCTGGGGCGGCATGCGGACATCCGCATCAGAGTGGATGTCCGCTCAGCGCTCCGCGTGTCCAGGCTGCATAATGAAAGCTGTCCCAAGCATCATGTTTTAATCCTTTTTTCTGAGAGCTAGCCCAAGCATCATGTTTTAATCCTTTTTTCTGAGACAGCTAGCCCCAACTCAGGCAGGCCACCGACTGTGGCGGGCTCGCAACGGCGTGTTTCTCATGGGCAATGTCCCTCGAAACTTTTTAACCGTGCTCGAGTAATCATTTCGTTGGGCGCTGCTTGCCTCCTAGCACACAGCGCACACACGACACAGCACACACAGGACACTGAGCACACACAGCCACACAGCCACACACCCAGGCACAGCACAGCACAGCACAGCATAGCAGCACACACAGCCACACAGCCACACACCCAGGCACAGCACAGCATAGCACAGCATAGCACAGCATAGCAGCACTCAGGGCGGCGGGGTCGCAACGGGGTGTTTCTCTTCTCATCGGGCAATGTCCCTCCAAACTTTTTAACCGTGCTCGGTTAAAATTTCGTTGGGCGCTGCTTGCCTCCCCCACCCAGTGTAGGAGTGCCTGTC